AAATTGATATTGATGTGATTCTTTACCTTGTTGATAGAGTAAAGCAGTAAAAGATAAATGCTAAAATGTTGCTTGAAATTGTAATTTTCTTGCCTTTCTTTTTCGATTCCTCAGCTTACCTTTTTCAATACATGATTTATTGATGCAACTTTCATGATGTAAATGCCATTTATGGTAAACTAGAGTCAAATTCATTTTCGATCAGCAAATTAAGATAATGTTGGGAATGAGTAAAGCAACGAAAAATGATCAATATCAATAAAAATATTTTCATGTGCAACATTTGCATTAAGACAGTGATATCAAGAGATTATTGAAAAAAAATTCAATCAATAATCATTTACAAAGAACAAAAGATCAAAAACTTTCAATTTCCAAAAAAGCTAAAAATATCAGCATTTCAATCCATCAATAAAGAACAACAGAAATTGGTTTATGTGAAAACAACAATTCGATGCGAAGACGAAAAGTTTACCTTGCATCCGTTGAGCGAAGCTTTTGTTCATAAGAAATATTTTGGAATGAAATTTCTTGCTAAATATGTGCTATAATGAAATTGGGAAGAAGCTTTATCTATGAATTTGCGTAATTATTGGGTTCAATATTATTTATTCATGAAACGAAATGAACTTTTTGACATTTTTGTTTTCCCTTCTATTGTAATTAGAGATAAATTTAGATAATGAAAATGGTTGATCATTGAAGGAGTTTTGAGTTGTAGAGGAAAGAGTAAAGTTATTCACTTTTGTGAGCAATGATTCAACCAATTGTGCCAAAACTAACACTTGAACTTTTCCATGCAAATTTACTTGGAAGAACCTTTACAACACTTTTCCATCTATGAATATCACTTTTTACTCCTGTGCTTCTGTTTAAACATTTTTTTCCATGTAACACTTCATTTTGCAATATTCATTCAATTTACATTAACATGATCATTCAATGGAATTATAAAGTTCACTGTGAATGTTTCATGTCAAAAAGTTTTCAGGGCAAAAGTTGAAGCCTTTTATATGGTCATGTCAAAAAGGATGAGATCAAAAATGAACAACAGCAAAAAGAAGAACAGTAAAAAGAAAAGATTAAACATTTTCATTGATGTTCACCATTAACCATAACCAGAACTACAAAGTTTCAACTGAAGGACAATCACTAGACGGAAAAGTTTCGAAAAAAAGAAGAGCGAAAAAAACTTCGAATTTCATGAATAATTATCTGTTCGATATTGGAACAAAGAGTTTGCCTTTGAAGCTTATCAGTTGATCATGTTAAATGTCAAAAGATTATTAATGTTGATAAGAGCAGAGCAAGAGTCCAAGTCCAGACAAGTAAAAATAGCAATGAAGATAAAGTTATTTATCCGTTAAAGGGAAGGACAAGCATTTTTGCGGTCGATGGAAAATGGTTTTCCTTTTGATTCAATTTACAATTTTTTGATTGAATGAGCTGTAAAACGTGATGAGAAGAGATGAAAACTCATCACATTATGATTAGAGTTAATATTTTTTCTTATCATTTGCAAGATAACCTTTTGAATAGGTAAACATGGAATGCTCAATTTTGGTGTAAATCAACTCAACCATACAATTGGTTTAACGCAAGTGAAAACAAATATCGTTTGTAGTTGCCTTCCCTTGAGGCACAAGGCAATTTACACGATCGATCCTCTCCAAGTCCAAGTCTCTTTACTTTACCATATTTTTTCTTCACTTTTACCAACGAAACAAAATTCTTCCCTTTGTTTACAGTTTTCATGTTAATTGTGATATTCTCTGAACAAATCGATAAGAAAATGTGTAAAATGATGAGAAGGGTAAAGATGAGGGAACAAGAAGGATTGACGGAATTAACAGTGAATATCAAAAGGTTTGCCTCAACATTTTCAATGTTCAGCTCTATTGAACATTTACTTTTTTCGACTCATTTTTTTCTCTCTTCATTTTGGCTTCTGAACTGAACAATTAGTTTGGGATAAATTTACTCGATGTTAAGGTAAAACTTTTCTCCTGAACCAGAATTTTGTGACAACTTTACACAAATGATTGCGATTTGATGAAAAGTTTTAAAAGTTTTACTTTTGCTTCATTTTCTCGCTTCTCTTTGGAAACAATTTTTGCTCCAAACTTACAATGTTATACTTTTTTGTCATCATCTTGCGACTGAATTCATGAATAATTGATAATTAATAGGCGAAATAAATTGGTTGAGCCGAGTGAGAAAAGTAAAAGAAAGAAAGGCAAATGAATTCAATATTACATTTGATATTGACAATATAAATTTAAATGTGAATGCTTCTTTAAAGAATGCAAATATTGAATATATCATTTGGAAGTAAATGGAAAAGGGTAAAACTGAATCAATACATGTTATTATTGAATGTGTTGATTGAATTGCATTCAAATTTTTATCCCTGTTTATCTCTAATCTTTTTTCTCTTCGCTCTCTTCTTACCTTATCAGTTATTTCAATTCATTTCGCTGCCTTCTTCATCGCACCTAATCTCATCTTTTATCATTGTCTACAGATTAACTGATTGTTGCAAGAAAAAAGTAAGCAAAGATAATTGTAATGTTCAATTGGAGAGCCAAATAAAACGAGATGAAGAAAAGGATTAACCATTTTTTCTTCTCTTTTTTTCTTTTACAATTGATATTGTAATATTTAGAAAACTGAATCTTTAATCGAATCATTTTGAGCTGCTTCAGGAGGAAATGGCTCAACCTTGAAATGCTAATAAATACTGCCTTAGAAATGAACAGTTTGGATTCGATTATACTTTTGTGCTTTTCTTGATTCGAAATTAATTTGGAAAAATTTTGTTTGCAAAATTGTTCTTTTTTGATTGGTTCGATTGATTAAGTTGGTAAGTTTATTTGTACCTTTGAAGTGTGAATGAAGGAAAATCTCGATTTTGCAGATTATGTTCGAAGAAAGTTTTGCGAAAATGTTCGATGAGATAAATGAACAGAGTAAATGTCAAAGAAATTTAGGAAGTTGGAATCGAATGTGAATCTGTTTAATAAATCTTTAGTTTTTATCTGTTTTTCAAATCTTGAATTCTGTTCACGTATCAACAGGACGAATCAAGCATTTACATACTTTCATGACGAAATTGAAAAGTAGATCAACTTGAAAGAGATTCTTACCAAAGTTGAACTTAAATCAATCAATATTCAGTTTCATTCCCTTTATAGCCAAGCCAGTGTTTACCAAGATAAAAGTGGAACCAGAATATCGAAAATCTTTTTCTTTCGAAAGTTTTTCTTTGAATTCGCACACGATTCTTACTAAACCTCATCGCGCTAAAGAACAGCACATCCCGAAAAGAATCCAAAAACATTCTCTTCTAAGTTATTGATTTTCAGCTTAAATCTCAGGTGTGAAGATTCGAAAAATTGCCGACTTCACAAAGTCTCATGTTTTCCGAATTCGCAATTTTCCTTTCAATGGAGCTTGAATGTTGCCAATCAAAGTATTAACAAGGCAATTAAAAAACGATTTACTTTGAATTTAATCGCGAATTTGAGAAAAGCGAAAAAATTGATTTTGTGACTTTTGGCATTAGTAAGGATTTTAATAGTTAACAAGATTCGGTATGAGATTATACTTCAATCAATATCAATAAATAATCATTACGGAACAATCAACTTTGATACTCGATAGAGTGAGAAATGAACTTTCTTTACAATAAAATAATTATAATCAAATAATCCATTAACTGCAATCAAACATTTTTCATCAATTTTTGGATTCTCAAACAACTTTCCAAACAACATGAAAACTATGAAAATTTTTCCATTTAATTGAGTCATTAAGTAATTATTTTTTCTCTCGTTTCAATTTGTTTCTTCATTTTTCATGCCAAGTCAATGGTGAGTGAAGAAGCAAAATAATGTCAGAATAAACTCGACAAGTATAATTGTTTTCATCATTAAGTAACAATTAAAAGAAGGAAAAGCGAAAAAAAGTCGGGTAAAAAAGTTCATTATTATTAATAGTTGAGATAATCTTTTAATAGCAACAAACCGAATCGATAGCAAAGGAATAACTTTTTTCATGTTTACCAATTGTTTGTGAATAGGAAAAAAGCTCAATTTGAAAGTCAATTAGAAGTAAAGATTTAGAGGTAAAAGAGAGTTGAATAATGTGATGAATATTAAAATGTTATCCTTGAAATTCATTTATACCACAACATTGAACATGGAAAATTTTCTTTATTTGGTTTATTCTTTTGCAGGGAATGGCACTGGGAGTGCAACTGGGAGTGTAATTGGGAGTGTAATTGGGAGTGTATTAAAAGTGAGCTTAGTTTGAATTTTGTGATAAATAATGAGTAAAGAGTATTATGGAGAAAGAAATGGAGAAAAGGAGGAAAAATCTCGCAACAATCTACCTGGATTAAGTTTTTCTGTGAATCTCTTTTTTCGGTGTTGTTGCTTAATTTAAAGATAAACTTTGCAAGTAATAAATGTTGCCTTCAGAATCATTATAATCAACAGATTTATCGACAAAAGAGAAACAGGATAAACAATCAGATTTTATTTGGTTTCTTTCTTCACTGTTGCAGGATATAATGGTTGATGATCATTAAGATGAGATTTATATTTACAACTCAACCAAATATTACTTCAATTCATTAAAGCCAAAAGACAATATTCAATCAGTTTCAAGTTGATCACTGGAAAGATGAAAGATTAGCTTGACAAGTTGATAGTTTTACTCTGCTTTGCCTTGTGTTGAAGCATTGACTTTTTGTTCACTCGTTTATTGATTCAACATTTGAAGCAAATTGTTTCATCATATGCTTGCATTTAGACTTGAAAAAACAAAGTTGAAAGTGGAAAGCCAGGAAAGGTTGAAGTCCAAAAATACAAAACTCTTTACGTGATTGAACAAAAGTAAATTCATATTTGCAGAGCTTTCTTTTTACGCTTTGCTTCTTCTGTTGACTGTACAACAAAACTAATGAGATGTAATAAAGAAGGGAAAATGTTACTTACATAAAACTTGCAACATGGTCATCTCAATCATGGGAACTTCATTGCGTTCCTTGAGAACTTGATTGACTCCTTTGCAGAAAAACTCGCCATTATGATCATAACGTGATGCTATGAAAACGAGTTTACTCCAAGTTCTAAGAGTTTCATGAGCATTGATGGACATGGCAGGGAAAGTATTCAGAAGAAGAGAAAAGAGAAAATTTTAATTTGGTCAATATTTTGAAGCAATTAGTCATCGATTGTTTAGTTTTGGATAAATTATTTTCATGCCAACAGATTTACCTTTAATTACGTTATTAAAGCTAATTATTCTAGCTTGATATTCAGATGTGTTTTCTTGTGAATAATTTAGTTTTTAGTTTTTTTACTTTTCTACTTCATAATGGCTTTCAGTTTTGTTTTCAACCTTTTTGGATGTTTATGGATGAAATAAATTCAAATGAGAATAATTTGCCTGATTAATAAGGAATTGCTTGTTAATGGTTAAACATGAATTTTCAACTTTTTTTGCGGTCAGATTATTGTTGAATAGGAAAGGTAAATGTTCAATCATTATGTAACACTAGTCTTTATTGAAATGAAAGTTGCTTTTAACAATTTAGTATTGCAACCTTTGTAATTATCCATTAAAGGTAACAGTTTCAGTCTTTGCTCATGCAAAAGATGGTTATAATTATGGATAATTGTGATTGATTGGAGTGGAAAAGTTGCGATCAAATCAGAAAAGTAAATTACTGAAATTATTAGGTAATCATTAAGAAGAAGGAAAAAGAATGGATCAATTATTGCAACAAAATATTCACTTTGGTCCAACAAGGTTTGTCAGTGTGTTGTACATGTCGTTTTACCTGAACACAATGTTATTAAAGAATGAATAATTAACACGAAACCTCTGATCTCAACATGACTCTTTGAGGTTATTTGAAATATTCTGATTCCATAGGAAAATAAAGTATAGTGTATTCAAAGGGAAAATCTCGATTAATCGAGTTCTGAAAAATCCAAAAATATCTCGAGAAAATAAGATAGATTCGAGTTGTAATCTTGAGAAGAAGTTTTATTTTCTAGACTGTTAGACATGATTATTGAAAATAAATGCTTCTATTTTAAGCATAATTGTGCAATTTTCAATTCTGCACAAGTTTCGAAAAGTTTTGCGAAGTTGTCTGACTTGATATTGACAAAATTGGCCGTTGAATGATTCGCTCAAGTTCAATAGTTATGTAAGAAATGTTGAATCCATTTTAAGGTAATGTTGATCTTGAAAGTAAATCATGATTACAATATTTTCTGTTGATTCGCACTAACAATGGGATAACAAGAATTCATTGAATTCCAAGAAAGAATTCTTGAGATAAACACTGAATACAAGTGAATAAATATTTGTCACTATTACATGATTCTTATCACCTTAATCTTGATCAACTTGAATTGAAAACATTTATCTTTCAGTTTCTTTCAACATTTCTCAACATCAATCCATCATTGAGTCAGTTTGTTTACATGCAAGTCAATAAAGTGTCAAATCATTTTGCTCATCCAACTCTTGCCAATGATTTTACAAGCAAAGAAAGAAACTGAAGATGGAAAAGAAGACGAACAAGAAGATGGTTCAACAGATAAAGGGACAGACAAACATGCTGTTTATTCAAACGATAATAATAATAATGAAAGTTGATGAACAACAAGAGAACAGAAATCAGTGTAAAAAGGTTTTCTTTTTCGGGGTTGCCTTGAAATTGGAGAAAAGCAGAAACAGATGATAAACATAAGTCACTAATGAACTGTTGAAGGATGAACAATTAACATTTATTTTGAAAACAAAAGCTTCACCAACTGCAATGGAAATCGACTGTGAGAAAATTCCATCTTCTAATCACATATTTATTGAAATTATGATAAAATCTTGTCTAATATTACAATTTAATCAAGATAATTGTTTGACCTGAGTAAATATGGAAGTTTGATGACTTTGTTAGCTTGAAAAATATTGACTTTTATTTGTTGCTTAACGCAATTTTTGAAGCTTAAAAAGCCATTGAAATTTATTTGAAAAATGCTCAACATTTTCTCTTGTTCATCTTCTAGTTTTTATTTTCAACTTTTTTCATTCTCAGCCTTTTGCTCAAGTTTTACTCTTAACATGATATATTGGCTTTCTTATTGCCCATGAAGCGTATTTTTTAAACTTTCACTTTAAATTGAAAGCTAAATCATTTGATGAGATAATAACAAAAGTGGTAAAGACAAAAGTTTAGCGAAGTTATATTCAAAAATCCGATTTCGCTCGACTCATTGACATTTTTATTGCAAATGAATTTTAAAAAATCTCAAGTTTTGGGCAATTAATTTTCACTCGAGCAAAACAATGCGTTTGGCTCGATTTTACGGAAAAGTCAACTCAAAGAAGCTGGAAAAAATTTTCTCGAGATTAAAGTAATTCTAACGGTACCGAATATTGGATCAACTCGCAAATGCTGCTCATTCTGAGTCAATTTTATTAGCAAACATTCAACAAAACCTCTTGACCATAGATGAAATTATTATCTCTCATCGATTGATCATTTTTTTTCGATTTTCGCTTCAAACTGTCCAGAAAGTTTATTGGTTTTGACGAGTTGTAATTTCGAAAATTTTCATTTCACGAAAAAGTTCGTTGAAGAACAATAAAAATCCAAAAAGTTTTGAATAATCTGATTAATTATCGAATGAAAATTCAACAGTAAACACATCTGAATCAAGGCGAGTTTTCGAGTTTCTCGACATTCGATGAATCGAACTTTTTTTGTGATATTTTGTTACTTTACCTGTAGGTTCCATCAGACATTAAATCTGTTGATGAAGTTGGATGTGGCGTTACAACTTCTGATCGATTGAACCAAACAATGGAGGCTGGTGGTCGAGCACCATCGACAGTACAAGTCAATGAGACCATTTCACCCGAAACAACTGGAGCCTTTGGTCGGCGAAGTTTCAATGATAAAGGTTTAACTGGAACAAGAAATGAAGGGAAAAACGTACAAAATTAATGGTATTTTGATTAAGAAGGAAAAAAATGCGAAACAAAACAGAGTTGGTATTAAATTAGATTTGAGTTGAAATAGTGAAAACATAAATATCTATTATTTACGGATAATTTATTTTCTCATCTTATAACAGTTATCATTATTTTCACTCTCTTTTCATCTTCTCTCTTTCAATTGACCAATGATAAGGTTAGTTAAGTTCAATGTTGTTCAGTTACGATTGAATGCAGATAATGAATTTATATGTATGCATAAATACGATAATCAGTCTTGTTTCAATTTCTCGAGTTTTGCATTCTTTTCCATTGGAAATGTTCATATAAATTACTTTTGCACATTGAAAGCTTTTCGTGTTTTTACTTTTCTTTTTTTTTCCTTTCCTTACAAGTAATACAACGTTTAACCATCGATTCAATAGATTGACCACATTTGTTGATTACTTTAATTATTTTCAACATTTTTCTTCCAATCCAAATTACCAAATGTTGGTTTGCCAAATGATAATAAATTATCAACTCTGCCAATTTGGTATTCAAAGTATTTACTCCAAGAATCCTCAACTATCGATCAACAAGAAAAAACCTTTCACTGAAAAGGAGCAAAAGTTAATCACAATTTTTCGATTTATTAGAAAGATCAATCAAAATTTCTCGTCACATTATGATTGAGTTAACCCAAGCAAATTAAACTCAGACCCAAGATTAACTTGAATTAAAAATTTGACTAAAATTAACTTTTCTGTTCGAACTCAAGATATTTTAAAAAAAGTTTTCAAAACTCGAGTGTCACCAAATTGAATAAGCATGTGACTAATATTGACCCTTTCCAGTCTTGCACACTTTCGTGTTTGCATTCAATCTTGAAAGTCGATCGCGACCTTACTTTGAACTACATCTCTGTATGAAGGAAATCAAATAAACCGCTTTTCTGTTCGAGAAACCAATAGCAATAGCAACCTTCTCCCCATAATGTAAACCAAGACATTGTAAATAAACTTCACTCAGAAATCAATTTTAAAGTGTTTTTCTTCGTTCTATGTTACACTGTATCAGTTCTGACTGAACTCGAGGTAAAATCTTTCATTAGCTTCTCTTCTCTCTCCTGTTCTTGTCAGACTTTAATCATAAAATTAAAATCCAATCATAATCTCGACTTTTTCCCTCAAAAGGCGTAAAGTCGAAATTTTTGTTCTCTTTTTGAACTAATCTATCAAATTTTGCACCTTTTTGTTATAAGACGGTTGCTGTTGTTTAAAAGTCGCATTTAAATAAAGCTTAATTCCTTCGAGAGTAACTAGATTTAATCGCACTTATGAATATTTAATGTTGAGATGGACAAAGAAGCAAGTTTAGCAAAAAGATTAACAGAAATTGTTTGATCATTTTAAAACATTGCTCTTTGTCATTAATGGATGAAATCAACTCAATTGTAACTTTACTTGTAGCTTTCCAATTGAAACTTGATCAACAAAATCTCTTACAGGGAAAGTGGGAGAAGAAGGAAAAATGAGAAAAGCAAAGTGAAAAAACAGTAATCATTTACTTCAATTAACTTGATCATTGGGTTCGAATGAAATTGTGCAAAATGTAACTAATCCATCATTTTAAGACTCACACATTATTATTATACGACAATCAAAATCCTCCCTAAAATCAGTTGTTCATCTTTTGCTTTTCCATTTTTTTGCTTGATTCGTCTTTGCTCTTCCTCTACTCAAACATAATCAAACCATTTCCTCGAATCACTCTCTTGATCATCTAAAACTCACCCAACAAACAGATACATTTATATCTGTAAAAGCGCCTTCATTTTGTTGATTGATTTAAACTCATCTTCATCATTTTCAATCACTTTTATGCATATTTCATTATTAATACCATTAACCTTAATATGATATCAAAAGAAGAGAAGAAAAAATGATTTCGATAAGCTTTTGTTTCTCTCTTGTTACTTTTCTTCTACTCTTATTATTTTCCCTATTCTTGCTCATGTAATACCTTTTTTCATGTAACTCACTGCATTAGGATTGTGCAAGTTGCGTGCTCAAGTTAATCATTAGTGTTGTTTGAAAAGAAACACAAAAAAATGCAGAAAGATGATTATAAAGATTATAAAAAAAGTTGAACTTGAAGTAACACACAAAAAAAGCTAAAAGTGTATTACAAGTAAAATGTTGATTCATTTGATTGAGCCAATTGCTAGTTGTTGATATTAATATTTTTATTCATTCCAATAATATCATTTAGAATGTAATTTCAAAGCTAAAACCTTGTCAGGCACGAATTTTAAACTGTTAACTTTGTTATTCTTTTTACTTTTTTCTTCTCATCATAATGAGCAACACAAACAATGACAAAATGAATAGTTGAATGGACAATGTAAGCTAAGTAAACTCACGCATAGCAAATGTTAACATAAAGGAAAAGGTTGAAATATCAAAGTGATTTCTGTATTATCCAATGATAACACAAACCTGGTGATAATAATGATAAAAATTATGGCGATGATGAAGATGGGAAGAGGAAAAGGAGAAATGGAAAAGTCGAAGGAAAAAAAGGTTTCGAGTTCATTGTGAATATTCAAACAACTGTGGATTGTCACTGTCAATCATAGACTCAATCAAGCCAAAAGTGTAGCAAACTGGTCAACTTTTTATTATTGTTATTAAAAGTGAAACATTTTCTGGTATAAAGTTTGATACCATCAATGGGATCGATTAGGTAAAATTGGATAACAGAAGGAAAATGAAGGCTTTGTGTGTGTTTGACGGTGCAAGATGCTGTGGCTGTTGCTGTTGTCTCAACGCATTTCTTGACTGGCAGGGAGTGAAGCGGGAGGGAGAAGCCTTGAGATAAGGTTGACTGGCGAGGGTTGAGATGGGATGAATGGATGGCTTTTCACACTCATCTGGATACTATTTAAAGTGATTAATTTGTGTGCATTAAAAAAAGTTGGAAAAACTTTTCTACTTTTTCTTCTTCTTCTTCTTTTCTGTTTTGTTTAGGCTTTCATGCATTTGGCTTACCATGTATTTCAAGGGAAATCCATTTGGTTAATGGAATTTTGGTTGCATTGTTCCAAACTGAACAGCCAAATTTAACGCCAACATCACTTCGAGTAACTACCAATCGAATGGTTGAGGTTACACTTGGTCCAGTTTCGCGGTTAATCAGGTTAACCTTTGATCGCAATGGACGCGTCCCATTGAACCATTTTATCTCGGGAATGGGTCGACCTCCGGTTGTTGAACATTCCAAGGTTAGGGTTGAACTTTCGGTGAACGGACCCACTTGGTAAACTGTTGATTCCCAATCACTATCATTATCACTTTCGTTGATGTTTTTATTTACACTTTTGCCACTATTTACATTGCTATTTACTTTAACCTTGTCAGGGTTATACTTTACATCTATCCTTGATATATCACTGGATTCATCAGTTTTCAACAATAACTTTGATTCTAAAGGTTCGCCATTAATTCGGATTACAGGTTTTCCAGGTTTAACTGTTGATGGATTATAAGAAGCATTTTAATCACAATTAATCAAGATTAAAAGGTTGTGAGAAGAGAGACAAAAAACAGTTCAATGAAAGTTTCAAGAGTTTCATTTACCATTTATCATGAGGGAAAAGTAAATGTTAACATTTCACCAACCAAATTTGATGAGCTTTTAAATTGATTTGATAGTTGAATTTATTCAGTTGACTAAAGATTGCAATTGTATTTATCGAGAAAACATAAGAACATTTTAAAAGCAAAATCGATAGGTAAGTTGATTAAGTAAATGTCAATTTGATAATATCAATTTGTCTTTTTCAATGAAAAATGAAAAACTTTATTTTAATCAAGTTTATTCAAGATCATTGATTTTTATGCTTTTTGGGTCAAATCAGTTTTAGTCATTTAAATAAGCAAAATTTTGATCAATAGAGTTTGGGTTGAAATGCAATTTTTGTTGCGTTCAATAACATTGAAAAAGTCAAACAATGTAAGCCAAATGTTTGAAAATGGTTATTCAAAGAGTTGATCTGATTGATGATTGTCGATCGATCGACTTCCTTTTTACAAATGAAATGTTTCAAACATTTTATTTCAAATCGAAAAATTTGTTTAATTCCATATTTTCCAATTTATTGATCGACGTGACCTGTTATTTAACAATAAAGTGTCCATTTTGTAGATTGACCAAAGAAAATTTACAAAAATATCAATCTTGATCAATATTGGAATTTCATAATTGATTATATCTAATATTATTTAGTTTGCATTATGTGAGTTATCTCAAGATAAGCGGTTCATTAGCCTCAGAATGACATTCGGAGGTCATTTTCTGAGAATGCGATTTCTCTCATCGAATGTTGTTTGATATTAAAAGCACTTTTAGGAGCTAAACAAGATGTCTCGAGATCGTCTTTTTTGACGAGAAAATGTGTGAATGACGCTCTTGTCACTAAATCTTTTTGCTTTGACGAAGCAACTAATAGTGTCAAAATTTTTTCTCTCATGATAACCTTCAAAGGCCGCTTAGAGGTCAAATAACTTTGAATGTCTTGAGATTTCTAGACAATGGTTCTCCAATTCATCAGACAGTTTCAATATGTTTATTTCGTGTGATATTGAGTCAAATGTAAAGTGAATAGCTTGAGTAATCATCGCATGTTTGTATAAAACTGGAAACATGAAAATAATTTACTAGATGTCAATGCTCCTTTGAATACCATTTTATAGTGAATCAAAGTTTACCGCAATCGCCTCAGCTTTTTGTGTTAGACTCGAGGAGTAAAAGTGACAGACAAAAGGATAATCATTAGATAATTGTGTTTGTATATTGTAGTCAAACAACAACAAACAACTGTCAACTGCCAATCAGTCTATTGTTTAACAATAAACTGTAACCTTGCGGTTAACAACAGAGAGCATCTTCTTCTTAACTTATACTTAGGATCATCTTAACTTGTCATTTTAGATTCTCGATTCTCAACTTATCGCTGAAAGGACTGAAAGCAGAATGCTCTTTGAGCACTGCCTGGGTTGAAATGTTACCGAAGTCATTTGGACATCATAAGGCAATATTTAAGATGATCTTTTGACGCAATAAACTCGTAAGTTGATCTCAAAGTTTGCTTCTTTTCTCAACTCTTTATCTCGGCCATCACTTTAGGTAAAAGGTGCAAGTAAATATCATTTGTACTCAATTACAATGCAGAATCATCATCATGAGATAAACAGTCTCATGAAAATATTAGCGTTTTCCTTTTGTTCTTTTTAGTTGTTTCTGCTTTCATTGCAATCATTTTGGTGAAATTAGATGAAAATGCTGGTTAAAAAGAGACTGAAAGGGTTGCAATAGAAACAATTTTGTGATTAATTCTTATTGAAAACAATCAACTAATATGATGTAAACGTGTCTCGAATTGTAATTGCAATAACTTTCAATTATAACATGATAATCAATGTTTGTAACAAAGAAATGAAACAATGTTGATAATTCTTTTTACATGTAATTTTCATCTTTTCACCTTAATTTGTATTCATTATCATTTTTCTTTTAGTTATTTACACACTAATAACCAAAATAAATCAAAAAATGATAAATTTTGCATTCAACATGTGCTTTGCTTATAAATACACCAACAAAAGGAAAGATTCAATAAGTTTATCCATTTTTGAACGTTCAATGGTAAACAAACTTTTCCCTGAGTTTCACATGCATTCCGATATTTAGATTTTCTCTGATTCTGACAGTTTGATCAGTAAATTGAGTGACAGTTTTTTTATTGCTAACTTTAACTTCATTTTCTACCTTTTCAACACTCTACTGTTTTGACAGTTTAAACAAGTTTTGTTTTTTATTCAACTTCGTAAAGCCATGTGAAAATTAAAACACATTTCCAAGTTAAGAGACTCGAAGCTTCACAAAACTCATCGACTCATTTTGCATTACTGTTGAGTAAAAGATTGAAATTTCATCAAATGACGAACAATAAAGAATTTCAATTTTTAAAGCTTTAAAACTGAACCTTTTGTGGTTTAAAACTGAACTCACTGTTTGCTTCATCGACGACTAGCGCCTTAAACGATTCAACTCTGGTTAACAACATAAAGAATCATCAGTGATTAGCATAAAAATCACTTTCATTGTTGTTCGATAATTTAAATTGAATGCAAAAAATAATTTTATTTCATTCCTTTTTGTTGAATCTTTAAAACACAGTTTTCCTTGGTTTGTGGTTTAAAGCTGAAGAGCGATCTTAAAGGTTTAAAGGTTTTATGGTTTAGCTGGATTTAAGTTAATTGCTGTTATCAACATTCGAGAGGTAAAACTATCTTCTCAATTGTTAATGAGCATATTAGACAAGTAAAATGTTGTTGCTGTAAGTTAAATATAAGTTGAAAGGCAGAATATATTAGGTTAAGTTAGGAAGATAAGAAGATCGAGAACAACGGAAAACATGAAAAATGACACAAAGGATCACTTTTGTTGTCTCTGTCAATAGATGATGATGATGACGAGAGTGAAGAGCGTTTGGTTAAGAGAAGAAAAAAAAGATTGAAAATTGCAAAGTTTTCACTTTAAACTGACTTGAGCCAAGTTTTTGTAATTTTACAAGATTCAATTGAGGCAAGGAAAGAAAAGATTACTTCTTGTTTTACTATTCATTGCATGTAATACATGCAAAGGCAAAGATCTTTTACATAAGAATCATCTTCTTTTTCCTTTTCTTTCCTTCTTTTCTTATTCATCATTGTCATCCCCATCCTCATCATCCTCATCATCTCCTCCTTTTCTGGTCTCTTCTTATGGTTAAACAAGACAGATCAAGTAAATCTCTCATCTATTGAAGATGCATTGTAATTTGCTTCAACTTGAAAGAAGAACAAGAAAAAAAGTCAAACTTTTTTTTCTGTTTAAATAATTTTAATTAACTCAACTCACACTCAATAATCATATGAAATAATGAACTAAATGAACGAGTTTAAGTGGTGAGAAAAGAAGCGGAAAATGTTGAATTATTCAAATTACGATGTTAGACGAAAGGGAAAAAAATTATGAGTTGAACTCATTTTTTGTGTGGTTAAAGATGTTGACTTTTTATTAAAAATGGTTTGGGTAATAAACCAAGAAACTGGTGCGAATTATTTGATGGCAACTTGCCAGTTGTAATTGTGATAACTTATTGTCTACTAGATTTACACTTAAATCATTATCATCTTAGACTCATCAGAAGCATCATCAGCATCATCTTATGCTTCATCTTCATGCTAATTTTACGCATTTACACTTCAACACAACGAAACATATTTTTCAATTTCTCTTCTAATCAACCAGAAATTCAATTATTTCAGCCAAAAGAGTTTGACTTGATTCTTGATCTTCATTTCAGTAAAATCTCAATCGATGAAATGATCACAATTTCGAGTGATTCAAATCATAAATTGAAACGATTGAATGGATTGGAATCAAATAAAAGGATTTGACAATAACAATGAAAATAACCAGATTTTAGTGACTTCAAACTCGAAAGTGAAATGTTGAATGATCTGAAAATAGTCTGAAGTTGATTGAGAAAATGAAATATTTCAATTCTTCATGAGTTATTGTTTTCACTTGAATTTGCCTGGTAAAGGTATGAGTTAAATTAATGTTTAATCAAGATTCTGGTTTAAATGCATTTGTTTAAATTCCCTTCGATTTGTTGGTTAATTTTGACTTGTGAAAATAATTGCCATTATTTGGGAATATTTAATTCCACATGAGGAAAATAATGCACAAATAATAGGTTATTATTGCCATGAAATGTTCAAAAATGAGATAAAAATAATCTTTTCCTTCAAAGATATCAATTCTTTACTTTTAATCGGATTATTATGAGAATGAAGAAGTTAGGAATTAGGAATGAAGTTTAAACAAAATATGAATTTCATTAAATGGAATAAAAATAAAGTCTTTTTTTTGCTGTCTTTAGCAAATGTTGTCAAATTGAAACTGAAAATGGGTTCACCATGAAATATCCACTTCTTTTGTTTCAATGAATCGACAAAAGTTGAATCAATTTATAAATTATGCTCTAATTGCCTTTGGATAACCATTTAATTGTACATCTCACGAGACCAATTGAGTTACCAGGAGAAACCAGAAAAGGTTTACACTTGTTGACTTGGAGTTGTAAAGCATTTTCAACATTTTATTTTAAAAATGGTTTTCACTTCTTGTTTACATGTTCAGGGTAAATTGGTCAACACTTGAACTCCAGTTGAACTGATTTTCGGGACAATTTAATTGATAATTACCTAATGTGAACAACTTGGAGTAAGTTAAAGATGGACAATTCCCATGGACATAAGTAACATCACACTTGTAGGTTCCTTCATCACTTAAAGCTAAATTTTTAATCCTCAAATAGGCAATTCCAGTGGTTGTCATGTTGGAATCGTCCATTGATATTCTATTTGGTTGACCACTAAAATGGCCCAATGCTTTTTGATAGCCTTGTGAATATGAATAGACTCTTTGCCATTCATTTGAAACATTTTTCGACCAAGTTATGAAGTAAATTTCACCACAATTTTTAAAATCAACTTCACAAGGTAATGAGGCTAAACCGTCACCAAAAGTGGCTATTTCATGGACACGAGATTCAGTTAATATAATTAAACAAGATAAAAGGAAAAGTAAATTGATTAAAGATGATAAATTCATTTCTAATTGTTGTTGTTGTTTGGATGTAAATTGAAATGGAAATTGTTAAAGATGAAAATTATCGATCAATCTAGAGATGAGTTTAATGATGAGTTTACAGATGATGATGATTATAATCCTGAAAAGAGTATCAAGAAACGACGTTCAACGTCGAGTCTGAATTAACACACATTTTACACTAGAAAATGTTGATCATCATTGTTGGTCGCGATATCGATAACTAAATGATAACTAAATGTTTCCAAGACTAAGCCGGTTCTTCAAATGTACAACATTTACTTTTACATTAAACAGCGCAATATCATTCAACATTATATTCAATACGATTCAGTGTCGCCATCTCATTCATTCAATTCAATTTACAATTTATTCTCAATTATTTATTTAATTAGTGAAATTATTAATTTAAGGAACGACCCGAGAAGTTAATTTGTGATTGTTTAATCAATTTTATCAGAAAAATTCATTTCTCATTTGTTAATCAGTTTGAATTGGAACTTGTTTTGGCGCTGTTTTATAACCGGTCAAGAGTTACTATAGAAACTAATGATTGTGTTTGTTTATTTGGAAAACATGCTTTTCACGTTTTCTTGTTGATTTGATTCGTTATTTTGCTTATTTGTTGACTTTATTATTTTTGTTTTACAGTGTTTTACTCCTTCTTTCATAATGAATCGTTTTAATAGCTTGATTTCGGCTTATGGGGCTACTTTATCAACGAAAGATGTGGAAATTTTACAAGAGTTGTTTTCTTTGGATGCGTCTGCTTCTTTGCTCAAATTCAATCCGTTCATTTGGGGTGAATCTGCACCATTATATTATTCAACTATTGCTGATACTCGATTCACGCTGTTTAAAATGCCTAAATCTTCTCATGTTTTGGGTCAATACAGGAAGGGTAAAATGATGAAAACATTGAAGGAATTTCCAGTTGATTTACCTCTTGATCCATCCGTTGAATATGAAGATCGACCTGATTTATATGACCCAAGGTTTATCCTTTTTACTCTCTATCATTTATTGGGACCTGAAAATGCGATCAACAGCAATCAGATTATTAAATTAAATGGCTTATCAATTGCTTTAATGACGACATCTAGTGAAAATGCTTCTATGAGAAACCTGGGTTACTTGGTTCTTGAAAGATTTTTTTACCATTTGGAAGGATCTAAATCATCTTCTGCTATTTACTTTTGGGTTCACTTTATTGACTGTTATAGATCTTCGTTAAATTCAACTAATCAACAAGTACCATTTCTTCTCAACTCTCTGCTAATTGAAATAATTGAAATTGTTGACACACCAAAAGACTCGTTGTTTTATGCAATCAAAGATTTTGTTACTGCCAAACCAAAGCTGGATTCCTATCAGATTACTTTATTATTTAAAAATTTATTAACAACAAAAGATCTGGAATGGAAAAAGTGTCAAAAATTAGTGCTAAATTTATTATCTAGATGCATAAAAAGTGATGAAGACTTTGAAATCTGTAAGACCAATGATCTTTGCCGTTACATCCTATCAATCTACTCCAGCAATTGGTGTGATCTCAACGATAAAATTTGTATCCTAAAATTTATCAAAAGCTGCATTCGCTTGCCAAAAGTTGCTAAAGTGTTCTTAATAGAATATGGCTTGACAGTTTGGTTGACCAATATAGTTGCTTCGCTTGATTCAAAGGATCCATCAGAACAGGATGAACTCAAAGATTTGGTAAAAATTTTACAGAAGTCGTGCAGAAACACCGATCTTCCTAAAAATTGTTATAAACAGCAGTTAAAAATGTTAAAAGTTTGGGTTAAATTTTCAGAGAGTTCCAGTGTTACTTCCTAATGTTTTTGATTGTACTCTGATGCCTGGTATGAGAGAAAAGATAAATTCAATAAAACTTGACTTCATATTGTCAAAATTCTTGAGCTTACTCTCTATGGCCTGAGCCTTTTCAATCTCTTCTATCCATCTATTCATAATTCTGATATAAAGTACCACCAAAAGAGAAATGATGAAAACGAGGAATAAAATGAGCAACATGGATGCATAAAAAAATAGATTCCAAAGAGCTGATGAAAAAGCAAAACAAAATCAGCTTCAGTGTTCTTGAATCGGTATTACAACGAGCTACTTACCGTTGAAGTTCCTCACCCAGAAACTTTGAGAACTTGTCGAATTGCTAAATAAATCGCCAGCTAAATCCATCAGTCCGGTCTTAATAAACGCAAATAATATCTCTTAATGTATTGATTGGTCACGGATTCTATTAACCATGAAAATAAAGCTTGACTCGAATCATGTGTATCTTTTGCTCTGTTTATGGATATTTAAACTAATGACTTGCTTAGAATATACAAATGCACTGAAAGAACCTTGACATAATTCTGACTGTTTTCTGATAATGAAATTTCGACGGAAAGCGACTTATTCGCATAGGTTTGGGATGACATGTTCCTTGGAGTCATTGTCTTTTGACAGTATGTCACTCTTCTCTGACCTTTAATGCTCATTATAAACATGTTTAGAACAATTTACTTTTCTAGATTTATGATTAGTTAGATAACAAATTATTGCACCTTTCAGGGTGAATCTTACATGACTTGAATCTTTTTAGAATTTATTATACAGTCCCTCATGATCCCGGTTTGCATCATTTTTATTTCGTCTTGGTAAACATCAAGTGCAATACCTTAATATACTGGTGGACTGTCTATTATTATTGAAGTTTACTGAGTGTAATTTAAATTGAATTATGGCTTATCTTGGTGTTAATTGTTATGAGCGTTTACTAATCAGGAATTTATTACCACTCAATCAGAGACGCTGTCAGGTAAATTGATCAGAAATTCATGATGAAATCAATTTCTAACTGTAACTCTCTTTCTCATGCTGTCCCATTTTTGTAAATTAATCTTATTCTAGATTTTAAACAATTTACTCTCACATTATCATACACTTCATTCAAAATCACCTTCACAATTAAGCAGGCTAATTGCCCAATTGAGGTCATATTGTAATAAAACACCAGAAGGGTTTGAGAAGTATTTCGGTAAATCAAGTAAGTTGATCATTTAATGTATTGTTTATGTTTATATTTAATTTTGGATTTGGATTAATATTTGTTTATTTTATTTCTAAGTAATTTATTCAATATTGTGTATCCATTTTGTTTTCATGAATTTCGTTTTTCTTATTCATTCTCGATGTCTTGTATCTTTGAATTTAAGGTAAAAAGAAGTCATCTGATGGCAAAACCAAAGAAGCTGCTGAAGAAGCTCAAACAGCAAAGCGAACTGAACCTAAAGAATCTATATTCGAACCTGCATCTCGTTCAAAATCATCAACACCAAACAATAAGTACAATTGGAAATGGGAGTACAATTTTGGAAGTGGTGGAGGAAATAAAGGAACAGGGTCGAACAAAGCTTTACCTTTTGTTGCTTACGGTGCAGCAGCTGTTCTTGGTCTGTTAGTTTTGAATGAATTCAGATACAAAGAAATTTCATGGAAAGATTTTGTTAATAACCATTTGGCTAGAGGAACAGTCGAAAAATTAGAAGTGGTAAACAAAAAATGGGTCCGTGTCAAGTTTTTCTCGGATGCATCCGCTGTAGATTCAACGAGTGTTCTCTGGTTCAGCATTGGTAGCGTTGATGCATTTGAAAGAAACTTAGAGAATATTCAAGCAGAGATGAGTATCGAACCCTCAAACTATGTTCCAGTTGTATATAAAAATGAAATGGAAGTGTAAGTTGAATTAATAATGATGCAAAACCTCAAAACTATTAACTCATATACTTTTATTGTTTTTTTTCTATATCCTTTCTGTAGACGAGATTTTCTAGGATTTTTACCTACATTAGTGATACTTGGAAGCATGTATTACTTTTTTTCCAAATCTCGTAATATGATGGGAGGAAGAATGGGCCGTGGAGGTATCTTCGGAATGGGTGAATCTACGGCAAAACTCATTAACCCAACCGATATCGGAGTCAAATTCAGAGATGTTGCTGGCTGTGAAGAAGCTAAGATAGAAATTATGGAGTTTGTAAATTTCCTCCGAAATCCTCAACAATATACCGAGTTGGGAGCCAAAATACCTAAAGGTGCACTGTTAACGGGACCTCCTGGTACTGGTAAAACGTTGTTAGCGAAAGCAACAGCCGGTGAAGCAAATGTACCTTTCATTTCAGTCAACGGTTCTGAATTTTTGGAAATGTTTGTCGGAGTTGGTCCTTCTCGTGTCAGAGATATGTTTGTTATGGCTCGTAAAAATGCTCCATGTATATTATTCATAGACGAGATCGATGCTGTCGGAAGAAAGCGTGGAGGTAGAAATGTTGGTGGACACAGTGAACAGGAAAATACACTAAATCAGTTGTTAGTAGAGATGGATGGTTTCAATACAACAACTAACGTAGTCGTTTTAGCTGCAACCAATCGTAGTGATATCTTAGATAAAGCTTTACTTCGACCAGGAAGGTTTGATCGTCAAATTTATGTTTCAGCGCCAGACATCAAGGGTAGAGCATCAATATTCAAAGTACATCTTAAACCATTGAAAACTGATTTAGATAAAAATGATGTAGCACGTAAAATGGCTGCTTTAACGCCAGGTTTTACCGGTGCAGATATTGCGAATGTATGCAATGAAGCTGCTCTTATCGCTGCCAGAGATCTTAATCCATCGATTGTTTTGAAGCATTTTGAAGCAGCAATTGAAAGGGTTGTTGCTGGAATGGAAAAGAAAACCAAAGTTCTTCAACCAGAAGAAAAGAAAACAGTTGCCTATCATGAAGCTGGTCATGCAGTTGTTGGTTGGTTCCTTGAACATGCTGATCCATTACTTAAAGTCTCTATTATACCTCGTGGTAAAGGTTTAGGATATGCCATGAACCTCCCTCGAGAACAGTACCTTTACACAACAGAACAGCTTTTTGACCGAATGTGCATGACTTTAGGTGGACGAGCTGCTGAGCAAATATTTTTCGGTAAAATAACTACAGGAGCTCAAGATGATCTTCAAAAAGTTACACAAAACGCATACGCTCAGATTGTTCAATTTGGTATGAATACTAAAGTGGGAAATCTGTCTTTTGAAATGCCTCAACCCGGTGAAATTGTGGTGGACAAACCCTACAGTGAAGCAACCGCTCAGATTATCGATAGCGAAGCAAGATCTCTCGTCCAAAAAGCATATGATAGGACAGTTAAAATTTTAACCGAAAAGAAGGCAGAGGTTGAAAAGGTTCGTATAGATATTATCAATTTGAAATGTCCATTTTTTAACATAATTTTTTCTTTACATTTAGGTTGCCCTGAGGTTATTAGAGAGAGAAGTTCTGAATCGAGATGATATGATCGAAATCTTAGGTAAACGTCCATTCAAAGAGAAGAGCACTTATGAAGAGTTTGTGGAGGGAACAGGTTCATTTGAAGAAGATACAACTTTACCTGAAGGATTAAAGATGTAATTTGATTATATTAAAAGTAGTTTTTCAATCATTTATTGTATTTTTTTATTCCATGGAAATTAACCTCTTCGCAAACAAAATAGGAAAAAGCATCATATTAGAAAATCTCAAAATAATATTTATTTATCAACCATGACTACGGAGAATTGGAAAATAAAACTCAATTTTTCGCCTTGAATTTGCTGGGCTTAGAGATTAAAAGTGCAATACGTGAATATAGAAAAAATAACAGCAAAACTTCATTATCCAATCCAGCCAAATTCCCAATTCCTGATGCTTGATTAAAATTTTTCTTAAAACATCAATTTTGTGACCTCTCAATGTTATATTTTCTTTGTTTTCTTATCGATATATATCTCACTAATCTCTAACACCATTAGGTTTGTTTGGAAGTACCTTCATGTCTATGATCTCTGTTTGTAATCATTGGATTAAAATTGAATTAAATAGAGATGTTTTTAAACGCACGTGATAAATGTTGATTTTGAGTGATTTAAAGATGCGTAAAAGTTGATTATTCTGTCTGATAATTATGTACGGATTAGTCTAATTTGCATGCCTTTATGCTTTAATTGAAAGTGTTGCATTACCTCAGCTTTCAAACCTGTGTCAATTAGTAAGCCTACAAATCCTCTTAGCAATTTATTAATGTTAGATTGTTGACATTGATGACATTATTAATTTCATCTGTAAAAACGCTCATTTCCAAAGAAAGTCTTACATCGATTCCAAGACGATGTTAACACATCCATTTGAAAGCAATTGATAACAATTGTGATACTGATTATCGTGATAAAGGTCATTAAATAAAGCTAAATGATATCTACTCGGATAATTTGATTGATTCAATGTTTTTCAATTAAATTACGATTAATAACTCGGTAAAATTGTTAGCTCGTTTACTGCCATCTAGTGGTCAAACCATACCGGTTACTATGGTTTTAGTGAATCCTAGTTTTTGCTCTTTCTCTGTATGCGTTTTTCCCCTCCTTTCTTTTCAATTCTGTGTAAAATTTATCTATTATACTTGTATTATTGTTTTAATAATTCTAAATGTAATTTATCCTTTATTTTGATTTGATTAAAGTAAAAAATGATTCCAAAAGACGGTTTAGTTGAATATGGACCTGATGGAGAGACTGAAGAAGGTGAAACAGAGGAAGGAGAAACCGAAGATGTTGAAAATAGTGAAGCAACTAAAATTCTGCCTCAAAGATGTAGTAGCTCTTCACCATTTAGGAAACCTCCTAAACAAGAAAATGGGTAAACATCTATTTATTTGTTATTAACCTCAACTTACTAATTAGTAGCATTGGAAAATGAGGAAAAAATTTTCACCCATTTTGTCAAATATCATTTTTCAGTTTCATCTTGATTGTTTGCATTTCTAATTACCAATCTTACCATATCTTTTTTCCTTTCTTTCTCTCTTTCTCTTTTACTCTCTCCTGCCTTCTCATTTTTTATTATTTTTTTTTGTTGATATTTTCTGATCTTATTTCGTGTCTATTCTATGACATTTTTCTTCTTCTAAATGTTGTCCTTTGTTTTCTTTGTTTCTTTTCCATTGTAACCTTTAATCTTGACTTATTGGCATCTCTTTTACAGTGCATCAATGGAGGAATGCAATAACGTCTTCAAGACTAAAAGACGATTTAGGAGATATGTTAGTGAATCAGAGAACATTTCAGATGAATCAAGAATCTCATTATTCCCTATTGCTGATCTTGACCGGCTAGAGCAAATGATCAGTTTGCCTCGGTGGATAATTCCTGTTTTACCAGAGGGTCATCTAGAGATACTTCTACGAGCCTCAATCGATTTGGCTGCTCAAGGCTTGGATACAAAGTGTGAACCATGCCAAAGGTTTATTCGAGAGGGTTTAACCATATCATTTACTCGTATTTTAACTGATGAAGCAGTCACCGGGTGGAAGTTTGGAATCCATGTAAGTCGTCATCTGTTACATTGTTACCTTCATCTTGACACATAATTTAGCTTCTTTTAAGCACCTGATATTCAAAACATGCTTTTTTTCCTTCTTTCATTTCTGCTTTCTTTCAACTCATTTGTTATCTTGCTATCTTTATCTCTTTAATTTTTTAATCTCGAACTATTTTTTACTCATTGTTGACTTTCAGAAATGTATTTTCCATAATTGTGAACGCCTTCTGGAATTAATCGCACTAAAACTTGGGGATGATTGTTTGCCCCTTTTAGACCTCTTAGCCATGGTCTTCAACCCAAACAACAAGTGAGTAAACACTTTAGTCTAGCATTATCTTGACAGTGGATAATCTAGTATTTGGCATTTGTCTATTTTATATTTGCATTTCTTCACCCGATTCTCATGTTTAAATATTTTATCAATCTGAATTTCAAATCTCACGTATACTTTCTCTTTCAATTTTTCTTTTAGGTTTCATATGTTTAACATGAATAGACTGGAAAGTCTGTCTTCTAATCAACCTCTCTTTCATGGAGAAGAAAAAGTCTATGCCCAATCTCCTGATTCACGTTGTCCTAGAGGATGGTTAGTTGATCTGATTAATCAATTTGGTCGCCTTGATGGATTTCAAAAGTTGCTTGAAAGGTTCGAAAAAGGGCCACCATTGACTGTGCCATTGATTGCTGCCTTGCTCAAACCATTTGGCCAGTGTTATGAGCTTCTCACTGTTGAGACTGTGAAAACTTATTTTCTATCAATCATTGAAAGCGTGCCTATCTTTTTGGAAAGTCTTAGTGATGAGGAATTGAAGAAGGAATCAAAAAATGAAGGTAAAAACGATGTACTTTCTGGCATTATAAAAAGTTTAAAAAATCTCGCATCTCGAGTTCCAAATCAAGAGGAGAGGATCCGTGAATTAGAGATATTTCGTTTAAAGATAATTCTGCGATTGCTTCAAATTTCTTCGTTTAATGGTAAAATGAATGCTCTCAATGAAGTGAACAAAGTGATAGCTAGTGTTGCCACTAATTCGTTTATCCGCCTAGGCAATAAGCCTGAGGCTGGACCGAATGAGATAAGTGAGAATACTACCTGCGATATTCTGCCAACCGATATGGCTCCATACCCTGCAGCGACAACAACGTCAGCTGTTTGTGATGCTTCTAGTTCAACTGAGGGTCAGCTCAATCTCGTTGACGAGGAAGATTGGTTGACTGCATCTCGGATGGCTCAATGGATTCGAGAGAACAGGGTGTTACAAATTGTTCTTAAGGATAGTCTTCATCAACCTCAATACGTTGAAAAACTAGAAAAAATAATAAGATTTGTGATAAAAGAGAAAGCCTTGACTTTACAAGATTTAGATGACCTTTGGGCCGCTCAGTCTGGTAAACACGAGGCTATAGTGAAAAATATGCACGATCTATTGGCCAAATTGGCTTGGGACTTTACTCCTGAGCAGTTAGACCATTTGTTTGAATGTTTCCGAAGTAGCTGGACAAAAGCCAATAAAAAACAACGGGAGAAGCTACTTGAGTTGATTCGGCGCTTAGCTGAAGACGATAAAGATGGTGTAATGGCAAATAAAGTGTTGAACCTATTCTGGAATTTAGCGCACAGTGAAGATATTCCAACTGATATAATGGATCAAGCCTTGGCTGCTCATGTAAAAATATTAGATTATAGCTGTTGTCAGGATCGAGATTCACAAAAAACTGAATGGTTAGATAAATGTGTTGAAGAATTAAAGAAAGAAGATAGTGATTGGGTTTTGCCTGCTCTAAAGTTGATAAGAGAAATTTGCTGTCTCTTACCTGAAGCCCCATCTAACTTTTCAGCATCAGATACTCAGTCAAACCTTATATGGGCTCCTGCCGATAAACCTACTCATCAATCTACCGGATGTGGTACCACAGTCTCAACACCAGTCACAGCTTTATTATCGTTATCTTCATCATCAACAACAACAACCATAACCTCAACTACAGCAGCTACAGTATCAGCACCACGACATCATTATCGTAAAAAGAAAATCTCTTCCGAAGGAACTACTACAACTGAGTCTTCTGAAGCTCCTAAAAATATCGCAAGTCGTAAGAATTATTTATTAGATTCACTAGATCATTTAATCGAGTCTTCTAAAATTTCCATGTTATCTGAAGTTACTTTTGACGAGTCAACTACAACTACATCTTCAACCGCATCTACTACAGCATTTACATCAACATCAGCACCTGTTACTGTATCAACGTCAACATCAGCATCTACATTGAGTTCGGCACCAATACCATCAACGGCATTAACTTCAACGCCAACGGTGACCGCGACAGTGACAGTGACACCGACTCAGGCCCCGGCTCCAGTTCAGGCTCCTGCTCCAGTCCTTGCTCCTATTCCTACTCCTGCTCCAGTTCCTGTCCCTGCTTCTGCTCCTGTTTCTGCTCCGGCACTGGCACCGGTACCAGCATCGACGCCATCATTGACGTCTACATCTACAACTAACAGCCAATCAGTTGATGTAACCGCTTTACACCTCAATAAGCGTCCTTTCAAATTGACCGATGAAATCAAACAATACACAATAGATGATTTTTTCCGTCGATGTGACTCATCCTCTATTCCCTCATATGGACCCTTTCTTTTAGCTAATACCAAAAAATATCGCCAAGAGGCATCTTCAGCTGTTGAAACTCATGGAGGAGTAGTTTATCGTCATGATGTAATCAACAGATTACACAGTCAACATTCCTTAGTAGTTTTAGTATCGGAAAATTTATCTAAATACATGAAGAAAGCTAGACAACTAGTAGAAGAGGAATGTAACGACATAAATGCTCAGACGGTGTTAGAAGGTAAACGTTATTCTCATATTCAAGAAGTCATCGAAAGACTCAATTTTTTGAGATTCTTGCTTAAGGATGGTCGAGTTTGGTTATGTGCACCTCAAGCAAAACAAGTCTGGCAATGTTTAGCAGAAAACGCTATTTTTCCAGAAGATCGTGAAGCATGTTTCCGTTGGTTTTCAATGTTAATGTCAGAGGAACAAGATTTGGATCCAGAGATGAATCGTGATTTCTTTGAAAACAATATTCTCCAATTAGATCCCATTTTAATAACAGAAAGTGGAATCGAATGTTTCAATCGGTTTTTCAAAGCCGTCAATCTCAAGGAAGGTAAATTCATTGCTAAGAAAAATTGCTGTTTAACTGAGGATTTGGAATTAATTGGTCTCGACTATTTATGGAGAATAGTGTTGAATTGTAGTGAAGAAGTTGCCAATCTCGGAATTGCTTTGCTTAGAGAAACTTATACTAATCTTGGCCCTAGTTTAGAGCAGCATCAAGTCAACATTCATCATGATTTAATCAGTTCATGTATGGATAGACTTCAAGCAGCATACGATACTGTTTCCATTCTGCGAAAGGATGCATCAGCCGAAGCTACGCTAAGAGTGGACTATGAACTTTCTCGAATGTCACGTATTTTAAGATTACTTTATGAATATGTTCATCAGTGTGATACAGATTTTGGTGATGAACGTACAATACTTCCGTTAGTTAAAGCAGTACGTGGAGAACAAGTTTCATTGACAGTTCGCTTTCCTAATCAAGCTAGACATATTGATGACATTCAGATTTGGACTCATCGCAATGAATACATTTCAACAATAAAAAAACAAATTTTATCTACGTAAGTTTTTCATCTTTGTAAATATAATTGAAATATGATAGTTTGCAATATAATTATTGAAACTCTTTTAACTTAAATTTTTATTATTCCAGTATCAAAGCTAACAATATGAACATGAGAGTCGATTTGTTCGTGTGTGATGATGTTACGGAAAATGATTCTAATCGAGAAGATAAACTAATTACTGAATTACCTGATCGTGATGAAGTGGTTAGTATTTTGGCCAAAAACTGACAAGAGCAAAAAGATTCATGCGAACTAATGTAATAACTCTTTTATTTCTGCAATAGGTTCTGAATGCCAAGCTGTACCAAGCTTCCATGAATGCTCCAACATCCCCTGATTCCTCTTCTGATAGTTCTTCCGGTTCTCCGGGTAACAATTTTGAGGGTCCAAGCATCGAGGCAGAAAACTCATTACCAGGAGTGGTAAGATTTATTCTTGATTCTTCGATCTATTTCTAAACTTGCAATTGTCTAACAATTTACTCATCTTTTTTTTTATTGTTTAGATATTATCTAAAGAACATAAATATGTTAATTTTTTCTTCCAATTACTGGATCTTGGGATGTCGCTGCGACATGCAGCGCTCTGTGATACTGCTCCTTTGATATTGACTATTATACCTCCTGACGTGACAATAGTCGAAAACCTCAAAACACTTTGTAAAAAATGTGCAGAAAATGTAAATGATACTGATTATGGCGCAAAATTTGACGAATTATTTTACGGATCTTCGCCAACACGAATTCTTTATAGTCTGGGCGTTATTTACGCTTTACTTATGCCTTCACGGAACCCACTCTCTGAAGAGGCACGAAAATTTCATTATGATTTTATGAAGAGTGGTTGTGGCTTTAGAGTTGTTGAATTGTTGACTCGGAACAATTTTGTATCCACTGCTGTTGATTATGCTAAAATGTAAGCAAAATTTTCCATTTATTTTTGTTATTTTTCCATTAACTATCTTTAACTCCTTCTTTCATCGATCTGTATCATTACAGCTTAGTTTATTCTACTGTGTTAAGAATTAGTGGAATGGTACTAACATGTTTGGGCCATTATTTGGTATTAAGTTCATCTTCATCTACATCTTGGTTATCATCGTCACTGTCCACTATTGCTCCTATGAAAAATGTTGATGATTGGCTGACGACTCTTCGTTCAGCCCTTGAAATAATTCCCCATCCCCTGAGTGCCGGTATGGTTCGTGAGATAGCCATGCAAACAGCTCAAAAATTGGTTGAAAATGATGATGAAATATTCAAGTCTCGTGTGATCTCAAGTTTACCTAATCTTGGTTCAGTTAGATCTCTCATGATGCTATGTTGGGCTACTAGTACGGGTGAAGAAAGTGCTCTACATGAAGATATAGAAATGCTTCATCGACTTGTTGTTAATGGAAATTTATATCGTCCAGATTCCCCTGTTTATTCAGTCTGTAAACTTGGATTGAATATTCTGACTCTAATGTTTATGGTTTCACCATGGACTTTGGATCATTTGATTAGAGACAATACTTGGCATCGTTTTGTGATTGATGTTCTTTTAATATGCCATGAGAGGTAACATTTCACACTAATTTTCATCACATTTCTCAAATTCATTATTTAATCGTTTTCTAATTAACCATTTTACTTTATCATTTTTCATTGTAGATCCATAAGATTGACTGCAAATGAACAGTTTGCTTTGATTGCTACCAAATGTGCACTTAACAGCGAGGTTATGATCAATTTCATTAACTTACTTCACCACCATCTTGGTACAACGGTACCAGTTGATAGCCATTATAATACTTCTGAAGAATTTTTCCATTTATTTTGTAAATTGTTAAATAATGCGCGAAGCATGAGGTGTCCTCTTCCTCAAGCACAACAGTTCCTCGAAAGTGAAATTGAGCTTTTAAGCAATGTTAGGGTAAGTTTAAAATAGAATTTCTAATTTCAACTCTTTTAAAAATTAATTTATGTCTTTTCTCTTCTATAAACAGCAAAATCTCGTTAGAAACGGTGTCATCGAAGAATCTTTACTGGAAGGTCATCTTGGTATAACTCGAGAGTTGATTTATTTACTCAAATCAACTTCAAAACATGAAGTCAATAATTTGATCCAAGTTTCCGAAGAGACAACTAATTCAAGTCAACGGTCAAAAAACAAAGACTTAATTCGTGTACTTGTTGATGAATATGTTTTCACTGCATCTAGAGCCATGGTCATGTTACAAAGGGCCTCTCACTCTTCTCAACAACCCCACCAATCATCCGATTCATCCAAAACTAATGACACCACAACTGTTCCCCCCTCATCAAGTTCCTCAACTTCCGATAACAATCTCAACATTGAAGAAGTTAACCCAATATGCACAACATCAGCCACTCTCAATGCTGCTTATGACTGTCTCGTAGCTTTGGGCACTGATTCCTTACCAAATTTAAAATATCTAGCCGATAGTCTCATTGAGATGTACTATTCAGATCATGAACAACATTTAACTGAATGGGAATATCAACCTCCTATCGGACCTAGACCTTATCGGGGTTTTGTGGGCTTGAAAAATGCTGGAGCCACTTGTTATATGAATTCAGTCTTTCAACAGCTCTATATGATTCCAGAAGTGCGGGATGGAATATTAAGTGTAGAAGGAGCAGCCAACGATTTAAATGAAGACTTCTCTGAAGATAGAATTGACAACATGATTAGTACATTGTGTTTCTCTTCTGCTGAAGATGATTCAAAGCGTTCGGTGGATGAATCACGTCGAGATTACAATTTAGGAGTTTTTAAGTATACGCAAGCCATTTTTGGGCACTTAGCACTAAGTAAATTGCAGTATTATGTACCTCGTGGTTTTTGGAGGCATTTCAAGTAAGTATCGTTTATTGCACCTTCTATTAAAAACTCAACAAAAATTCTAATGAATGTCTTTAATTCTGTAGGCTTTGGGGTGAACCAGTCAACTTACGTGAACAGCATGACGCGCTTGAATTTTTCAATAGTCTAGTCGATTCTATCGATGAAGCTCTTAAGTCATTAGGTTATTCACCAGTTATGACAAAAATTCTTGGAGGATCTTTTGCTGATCAAAAAATTTGTAAAGAATGTCCGCATAGGTATGTAATCGATTCTTATTTAGAAATTCATTTTCTAACGTTTGTGTTTTGTTTCTTATTCAAAAACTTAGATATTCACGTGAAGAACCTTTTACAACATTGAATATTGACATAAGGAATCATAGTAATTTATTGGATTCTTTGGAACAATATGTTAAAGGAGATTTGCTGGAAGGTGCTAATGCTTATCATTGTGAGAAGTGTAACCGAAAGGTGGAAACAGTCAAAAGATTGTGCATCAAAAAATTGCCTACTGTTTTAGCTATTCAACTGAAGCGATTCGATTATGATTTTGAACGTTCTTGTGCCATCAAATTTAATGATTACTTTGAATTTCCTCGGGTTTTGGACATGGAACCTTACACTGTGAATGGTTTAGCCAAGATTGAGGGTGAAATAATTGAAGAAGATCTTGAAGATGCCAGTTCTCCTGGAACATCTTCATGTACTCGATATGAGCTCTGTGGTATTGTGGTTCACAGTGGACAAGCCAGTGGTGGTCACTATTATTCCTATATACTTCATAAAAATATTGATGGGTCTCGAAAATGGTACAAGTTTGATGATGGTGATGTTAGTGAATGTAAATTGGATGATGACGAAGAAATGAAAGTCCAATGTTTTGGTGGTGATTACATGGGTGAAGTTTTTGATCACATGTTGAAAAGAATGTCCTGTCGTCGTCAGAAACGTTGGTGGAATGCTTATATCTTGTTCTATCGTCGGATGGATACTCAGGGTAGTGAGATGGCTTTGAGATTAAGTGAATTAATAATTGATAATGGATCTTATCAAAATAAAATCAAAATGCCTACAGCAATTGAAAGAAGTGTCCAAAGACAAAATATTAAGTTTATGCACATAAAAATTCAATTTAGTCCAGAATATTTTCAATTTATGAAAAAATTGTTGGATGGTAATGGTCAAATCGTTATCTTCCAATGTCAACGTAATGAACCTTACTCGGGCGATTCTGATTCGGCCGATGTACAAAGCAGCATTGTAAAAATAGAAGCCGAAGATATAGCAATGATCTGTACTCAGCTTGCTTCAAGATTTTTATTTATGACTTGTTTTCATGCGAAGAAAAATTTAAGGTGAGTTAACCTTCTTTCAACAATCTTATCTCTAATTTAACTAATGAATTGTATTTTAACTGTCATTTTTTATCATTTAATTACAGAGGCTCTGCTGTCGATTGGGCTGAATTGTTAAATCATCATTTAAGGGCCAGTCCCAGTGTACGAGCTTGGTTTGCACATAATGTTCTCTTTTCTAATCACTATCGTTTCTGTGAATATCTTCTTGACTGTCCAAATAATGATGTTCGAAGTGCTTTCGCCAAGATAATTATATTTTTAGCTCATTTCGCATTGTGCGACAATGAATGTCAAGTTTCCATTTTTACTTACCCTGAAAGTAAGTTTACAATCCATTTTTATTTAAATTGTAACATTTTGAACTTTGATTCATTTGTTTTTTTGTTAATCTGTAAGATGTCAGAATAGAATAATTGTGCCAATAGATGGCGGTTCACAGAGTTGTTTCACGTGATTTACTCACGTTGTTTGCCTAATTTTAGTACTTAAAGAGAGGTGATCAGTTAATTTTAATAATTGTTCATTTCTACTGTTTCTCTCCACTTAATGTCTTGATTTCTGTGAGTCATCTAGTGGTAAAAGTCTTCAACCATGGGACACGTTAACGGAAGTGCTACTTTGCATGTGTTTCGGAAGTTATTCCTTTCCATGCTCGATAGCTTCGCTAGCCACATGCGAGATTATCCAAGATAATGCGTTGCCAATATTACAATTATATTGTGTATTGGTGCTTTTTTATCTTACAATGTTAACGTGTTCGCAGTTTATTACAAACCTTACGTTAACCTGGTCTTCAATTTACTAATGTGATTTTTTCCCTCTCTTCTAGATTCTATAGTCGATGCTGGAACTGGTCTTTCTGATTGTCTTCTCCAATGTGTTTTATCTTTATTGAACAAAGAAGTTTCTGAACATAGCCGTCATTTAACCCAATATTTTAACTTATTTTATCAGTATGCATTGATTGGTCCCGAAGAAAGAGCTCAATTATTACGGTTAAACGTCCCGGCCACCTTCATCAGAGTCGCCCTTGAGGAAGGTCCCGGCCCTCCTATTAAGTATCAATATGCCGATTTTGCCAAATTATATCAAGTAGTCAGTCTTCTTGTTCGTTGCTGTGATGTTTCTTCCAAATGCGTTCCCTATCATAGTGATAAAAGCCCACTGCCCAATCCTTTTGGAATGGAGGAAGATGGTGCCTACCTGATGCCCATTCAATCTCAAGTGTATGAGTATCTGTACAAGAGGACATTCTATGTAAAAAAGATAATTGAAGATGTCAATTCTTCAGAGGATACCTTACAGCTACTTCGTTACTGTTCTTGGGAAAATCCTGCCTTCTCTTTCAATGTTCTCAATGAACTTCTCTGGCAGATAGAGTATACCTATGCTTATGAATTGCGTCCTCATCTAGATTTAATTTTACACATGTTGATGATTTCAGATTCTTGGCAAGAAGCAAGGATTAATAATGCTCTAAGTGGTAAGTTTATTGACCGACATTAAAATATAATTGGCAATATGAATTTCTTTCGGTTAAATAATTCATTAGTTGACTGATAATTCTAATTGCTAGATCATTGACCGTTTTCCGAGGCGTTGCTTTCCTTCAAGTAAAATTGAAACGAAGGTGTCAAGAGATTACTAACAATTTATACTTGAAAAATTAAATTATATTTTTCTTTTCTATTTATCCAGGTCTTCAAGATGAAAGGGAAGGTTTGTTTGACACAATCCAGCGGAATAAGAGTCATTACCAAAAAAGAGCCTATCAATGCATCAAATGCTTAGTCTCCCTGTTTTCCAATTGTCCAATAGCTGCAAAATTGTTACATTATACTCCTGATCTTAAGAAAAAATGGATCGCCGCTATAAACTGGCTTAATGAAGAGCTTGAAAGGAGACCTTATGCCTCAATTAATCAATATGCTTATAATTGGTCACCACCAGCGCAGTCGAATGAAACGAGCAATGGCTATTATTTAGAAAGATCAAATTCAGCTAAGCTAACCTTATCCAAAGCATATGAAATCTGTCCTCCTGATGAGAAAGATGAAATCGAGGAACAAGAGATTTCTGAAGAAAACGAAAGTCCACCAACAGCTGAATTTGAATTTAACGCTCCAGGAGTACCTGTTTCTACAGCAACCGTTTCATCATCAGATTGTCTAGCCACTCCATCTTCATCAACATCAGCATCCTCCTCATCTTCATCTTCATCATCATCCACAACTACAACCATAACCATAAGACCTTCATCATCTTCTACGGGAGCCTCTACATCAAAGTAAATAAAACTCAAACGAATGATACAAATCGAATGATCATTTTACAAGCAACAGTGAAAAGATTGTAAAAAAACAACTGCAGCAACAAAAACCAAACTAATGTGTATTCTTATGTGAACTTTTATGAGAAAAAAACTTCAATCAAACTGCTCACAAGAATCGTTATCAAAATCACAATCAGATCTAAATAAATACTAAAATTCATTGTAAATGGATATGTAAATACTTGATCGGTACAAAACAAAAATACGACCGAATCACAGTAAAATAACATCGTTAGTCATACAGAACAGTTTGATGGTTGACTCCCGAATGAGGGTATGCTGGAATTTCAGAAGAAAAACAAAACCAGAGCACCAAAGCTCACCTTATTGCTGATTTTTCAAGTTGAAATAATTTATACACAGGAAAAAAAGACAATTAAATTACAAGTAAACATTTTAAGTTCAAAAAACGTAAACTCAATTCAATCCAAAGATAAACAGAAAGAGAAACCAAAAAAACATGAGAATCAAGGTTATCAAAGACAGAGGTAGAAATGAATAAGATGAAGGATAAAAAACATTCATCAGTATTCACTGAAGCGAATCCTCATCTTTTTAACCCACATCATTTTTTGCTCATCCATTCAGCAGCATTTTTTTTCATCATTTCACCCTCAAACATGATCCAAGAGCAAACAACAAAAAGACTCAACAATTGAACAAAAAAGTTTACTTCAATTTCATCAAATTATTGACTGTAAACAGGCAAACAGAAGAGGCAAAAAAAGTTGAACCAATTTAGCTGTTAGCCAACAACAAAAGAAACCCAAAGAGGTTTCCAATCATTACCAGACCATCAAAAGTAATATTTGATGAAAAAATTGTCTCAACATTATTCAATCATTTCCTATTAAAGTCATTTCAAGTCGCGAAAGAGACAAACGCTCAAACGTTTACACTCGAATTTCATTCCATTGAGATTTACTCAGAGGTCAACAGGAAACTTGTTTACACTTAACCCAACCAATGGCAGTATTAGTTGAAACAAAAGAGTTAACCCGATGAAAAAATTGAGCCTAAAAAAACATGAAAAAACAATTGAAAAAGCATAAGTTGAACATGAAAAAGTAAACTCGAAATTGAATTGCAATTCGATTGTACAGTTTTTCGTACAATCTAATAACATTATATTTAGCCAATAACTTCTCTTATTTCTTTCTCTTTTTTTTCGTCAAACAACATTCAATAGTATAAAGGAAATGTTAGATGTTTATAAGAAAATTGAGTGAGAAAAAAAGCCTTCTATCAACTCAATTTATCAATTCAATGACATGAACATTTATATTCTTGTTTATTCATTTGATTTACTCGAGTCCCACCTTATTACCACTTGTTTTTCCCTTTAAACTCACCTTTTCTCCTTTTCCATCTCTACTCTTCTTCTTGATTCCCATCTTTTATATAATACATTATTTACCTCACAAATATAAATATATATTTTCTTCACTCCTACAGACACTCCCAGTTAGTTATTCAGTTTATCCCTTTTCGTTCACTCAATTCAATCTCATTCTTTCTTCCCTTTTACCTTCACTTCAATTTTCAACTTTCCTCCATCAATGTCAGCTGGAAACCTTTTGCCCTTAACCTAACCTTTGCTTTATTTATTCATCTTCAACTTGAACAGCTTAAACCATGACATTCAGGGCAAAATTATTCCAAATTCAATTCAACATTTTTGGTCAACAAAATTCTGTCAGGAATATTATCATTGCATCAATTGTTATTTAAGAGTTCAATTGAAAAATTTATTCGCTGAGAGATTGCTAATAAACTCTTGGCGGTTACATTGTTACAGTGTAAGTGCTGACTATTTCAAAGATCTGCTCATGTAATTGCCCAAGTTTTTGGAAAATATATTGAAAGTTTGTCTCAAATTGCTCAGTAATTGTAAACTAGTAAATTGTCAATCGGTAAGTCAACTTGAATCGTAGAAACTGAATAATAATATTAAACAATTTTTCTAAATGATTTTGAACAAACACTTTGACTTTCGAGTTAAATGTTGAGACTTGATCGGTTTGTAGGAGCATAAAAACTTAGTCCATATGCGCTATTAAGATTGACAGCTTTCGAGAAAATAAAGTCCAAAGTTGAAACTTCGATCGCCTTTTATTCAATTATGGAAGCAGATTTTTCCATGAAACTTATTTTGCTTATATAACTTTTGATGATTAACCATAGTTCTTTATGTTGATGTACGAAGTAAGGGTACAAATAAACTCACAAGGGAAGTAACCCAGCTGGTACGGGCAGATCAAAATGAAAGTGGATTTAATGGAAAGCCCGTGTCAGAAAACCCTAAATTTTGAGTGAAATTAAATGAATATTTTCCGATATTC